CTTGCTTTTTTTTTTAATCCAATTTGATACCCTATGTCTTTTGATTGGATCATTTAGCCCATTTACATTCAGAGTAACTATTGAATGAGATGAATTTAGTGCCATTGTATTACCTGTAAAGTCACTATTTCTGTATATTGTTTCTGTTCCTTTCTGCTCTGTTACTTTCAGGCTCTCTCTTCACTTACAGGATCCCCTCTTATACTTCTTGCAGGGCTGGTTTAGTGATCACAAATTCTTTTAGTTTCTCTTTGTCCTGGAAGCTCTTTATCTCTCCTTCTATTCTGAAAGACAGCCTTTCTGGTTAAAGTATTCTTGGCTGCGTATTTTTCTCGTTTAGTGCCTTGAATATATCATGCCAGTCCTTTCTGGCCTGCCAGGTCTCTGTGGATAGGTCTGCTGCTAACCCTATATTTCTAACCATGTAGGTTAAGGACCTCTTGTCCAGAGCGGCTTTCAGGATTTTCTCTTTATCTCTGACATTTGCAAGCTTCACTATTATATGTCGAAGTGTTGACCTATTTTTATTGATTTTGAGGGGGATTCTCTGTGCCTACTGGACTTGAATGCCTGTTTCCTTCCCCAGATTAGGGAAGTTCTCAGCTATAATTTGCTCCAATATACCTTCTGCCCACCCCCTTTCCTCTTCCTCTGGGACCCCAGTGATTCTAATATTGTTCCACTTCATGGTATCACCGATCTCTCGAATCCTGCCCTCGTGATCCGGTACTTGTTTATCTCTCTTTTTCTCAGTTTCTTTATTCTCCAACATTTTGTCTTCTATATCACTGACCCTCTCTTCTGCCTCATTTATCCTAGCAGTTAGAGCCTCCATTTTTTTTATTGCATCTCAATAATAGCCCTTTTGATTTCAACTTGGTTAGATTTTAGTTCTTTTATTTCTCCAGTAAAGGATTCTCTAGTGCCTTCTATGCTTTTTTCAAGCCCAGCTAGTATCTTCATAATCATCATTCTGAACTCCAGTTCCAACATCTTACTAAAGTCCATGTTGATTAGGTCCTTGGCAGTCGGTACTGCCTCTTAGTCTTTTTTGGGGTGAGTTCCTCCATCTTGTCATTATGTCTTGCAAAAAGTGGTCGCTTTTTTATTTGTAGAATTGCAGCAATTCTTTTATTAGATCTCCAGTTCAGTTTGCAAGTGTTCAGAACGATTTGATAGCTATCTAGCTGAATTCCAGGGACCAGATGAAATTAGGGTCCCCGGATCCTCCACCATCTTACCTTTAGAACCCAACATGAATGGGGATGCTATTTGTCACTGCAGCATCATTGCTTCCAGGATTTCACAGGGAATGATTTAGAAAGTGTGCACCCATGCCTCTCTACACTCATGTGTACCACACACGCAGATGCATTGAGAGACACGTAAACACAAGTTCACACCGAGAGCTCCAGTTCCAGACAAACCACAGTGTGCATCCCCCTCTGTTCCTGACAGGAGCCCAGCTTCCTTTGTCCAGAACTTATTTGCTCACTGGCTCAGTCCTAGAAGACACAGACCCTTGTCTCGGGATCGCTGCCATTGTGAGAATCCTGCCAACTAACGAGTTATTAGTGTTTGCTTGCCATTATTCTTTTCTTTAGTCCAAAAACCATTCTCCAAAGTTGCAAAAATACCATTCTCCAAAGTAGGTTAGTTTTTCTTGGTGGTTGTTTTATTCATTTGAAATATAATTTTGTTCATTATTTGAGTTTCAGTTGTTTTACAACTTTGCATTCAACCCTTGTTGATTCAATCTATTAACTTTAAAAAAAAAAAACTGCCAGTTATTTTACCAGAAAAAAAATGGGTTTATTTGGGAATAGAAATCCGTGAGTTGCAATCCGCGACCAGCGAGCTACAGCAAAACTCTGCAAGTGAAGGCGCCTGGGTGGCTCAGATGGTTTTAAGCGTCTGCCTTCGGCTCGGGTCATGATCCCAGGGTCCTGGGATCGAGTCCCGCGTCCAGGGGAGTCTGCTTCTCCCTCTCCCTCTGCCTCTTCCCCTGCTTGTTCTCTCTCTGTCTCTCTCGCAAATGACTAAATAAAATCTTAAAAAAAAAAAAACTCTGCAAGTGCATGGGGCGCCTGGGTGGCTCAGTCGTTACGCGTCAGCCTTCTGCTCACGGTATGGTCCCAGGGTCCTGGGATCCAGCCCCGCATCGGGCTCCCTGCTCGGCGGGAAGCCTGCTTCTCCCTCTCCCACTCCCCCTGCTCGTGTTCCCTCTCTCGCTGTGTCTCTCTCTGTCAAATAAATAAAATCTTTCAAAAAAAAAAAACTAAAAAAAAAAAGCAAAACAAAACTCTGCAAGTGCAGAGAGCAAAGCAGAGACCAAAGCAGAGGGTGCTCCTTCCTACAGGAAAGCGGAAGCTGGGAGAGGCTCTCATAAACAAAACCTCCGGGGCAAAGAAACAGTCTGAAACGTAGTGAATTTTCATTGGCTGGGCTGGGACTGTCTCTCATTGGCTGAGCTGGGACAGTCTCTCATTGGCTGGGCTGTTGCTGGGTAGGAGGAAGCTTTCTTTGCTCGCGCTGGGGTAGCGAAATACTAGCCTCCACCTGCAAAGTCTGCCTTTCATTGTAGGGTCTGCAGTTGACCACCGGTGTGGGTCCTCCCTGCTCCACCGGGCCTGTCGGCTAAGGGCAGACCTGGGCCGGATGGTGACAGGGCTGACTGCGAGCACCACCTGCTTCCCGGATGCAGTCCCCAGCTGCTCCTGCAGGCGCAGGAGCCTCCTGGGGTCGCTCCTCCCCTCCCACCCCACCGTGCCCCCTGCTTGCCCGCTGCCTGGGTCAAGAAGAGTTCTAGGATGTTACCACGACGGCACCTAGCCACCGTCTGCCACAGCAGGACCTGGAGTTCTGAAGGATGCGTGAGGACGGCCTAGGTGCCGGGTAAGACCTCATCAGCGGCCAGGACGCCCGCCAGGACCAGACTACTCTCCTCCCTCCCGGCCTGTTGGCCCCAGGAGCCGCAGTACCAGCTCAGCAGGACTCTTGCTGTGTTGCTGGAGGAAGCCCCCTCCCCCTCCCCTGGGCCCCAGGAGCCCTACCCCTCAGAACCCAGAGCTGCCGGATGAGAGCACGTTCCTCAAGGGCATGGGGCTCAGTGTACCCCCGGCACTGGAAGGGAGGGGCTCAGGACTCAGCCAGGGACTGAGGGAGCAGGGAGGCACACTCCAGCAACCCTGGTCCCAGTTTCCCCACGGTTGGGACCCACAGGGCGGCAGTGCCAGGGTCGGGGATCCTGCAAGGAGATGCCTGCCTTGTTTCCCGCCCACACGAGCTCGGCTGCAGAGAAAGGACCCACCGGGCTGGCAGGGCGCCCCAAGCTCTGGCCTCCTGCTGGCCGGAGGGAAGGGTGCTGGGAGCAGGAAGAGCTACTTGCTGATGCACTCAGGATCGACGGCCTGGGTGGCCCTACTTCACTCCCTCAAAACCATGGACCAGGGAAGGGCTGGAGGGGGTGGGGTGGAAGCAGAAATAGGCTCGGTGAGGTGGTCACGAGGAGGAAGGGTGGGGTTTGCCGAGGGGCAGCAGGCTCAGGCCTGCGGGGTAGGCAGCCACTGAGGGCTCGGGGCTCCGAGGCTTGCAAAGGCTGGGAGGTGGGCCTGGCAGGCTCAGGGTGGGCTGTGGGTTGAGTGCCTTGGGGCAGGGGGCAGCCTGCCCCACCCTATCCCATGACTTCCCTCCAGAAACCTCCAACCAGTTCACTCCCGGATTGGCGAAGAAGGGCCACGTCTCAGGAACGCAAAATAAATACATCGATTAAAGAGCCCGCGGATGCCACTGTCCGGGATGTGTGTCGTGGGCAGTGTGCACAGAGTGGGTTCGCGCTGATGCTGAGGACCCAGCCCCCTCGGTCCCTAACCCCCTGTCGCCTCCCCCTTCCTCCCCCCATATTCCTGAGCTCCTGGCAGAGGCTCTGGGCTGGTCTCTGGAGTCCTTTGGGCATTCCTCCATGGCCGTGTTAAAACCCTTGGATCTGTGTTTCTCAAAAAAAGGCGCCTGATAGAACGGGGGCAGGAAATATGCAGAAGGACTCAAAAGGGCTAAAATGTGGTGAGGGCTCGGAGCTGAGTCACTGCATGTGCTGTTTGTAAAAATGTGTTTGGGGGGATGTTACATGTTGAATTCTGTGGTGCTTTCAAAGGTTAGGAAATGCCTATGATGTGACTAGCGCCTCACTAGCACCTTCTGGGCTGGAATTCAAGTGTCCTTCTTGATGAGCCTGGCCGTCAGCCTGCACAGGTGAGCCCAAGGGCACCCGCGCCAGGCACGCTGGTCCAGGTGCCCCAAGACATCGCGGTGGTCCTCACTGCCCAACCTCATGCTGTTTAGACACTGGGATGAGGCGTTGTGGTGGCCGCAGTGGCTGTGGGCAGGCAGGACAGTGACGTATGTGGACTTGGTCATGACCCTCAGGTGGGACCCTCCAGGGGCGCTTTGGGCAGATGCGCTTTGGGCTGATGGGTGATGGTTAGAGCGGCCGCATCTAACACTGGGAATGTTGTTTGAAGGGAGGTTGCACTGGGAGCCTGTCCTGTACGTGACCCCTTCCTGAGGCCCTGGCCGGGGACAAGCTGCTCCTGTGAACAGCCCGGTGGTTTTGATGGAGAACATCTTAGAAGCCAGCATGTGGGCCTGCTGTGCTCATTGTCACTGGGATGTGACTGGGTTGAGGATTCTCAGGGACAGAGTAGGAACTGTGGCTCAGAAACGAGTTGAAGGGCGTCTTGTAAGACAAATCTGGGACCGTGTGAGCGCCCAGAATTATGACAGTAACGTATTAGAACGCACTGTTGAAATAGGAAGCATGAGGCACCGCGTGACGGGGCTAAAGGGCACAGGGAAGCTCTGTCCACGGATGCTGACTCGCCGGCACGCGGAGGAGGGGGGTCACACCACCAACTGGAAACCCTCAAAACACGCTGTTCAGGCAACACTCATCAGTGGGTGGAAGTTTCAGGAGAAACAGGATATTCACATACTCTCAAAGCATCTGTAAAGTATATTTTTAATGGCAAATTAAAAAACAATTTTGATTTGTTGAGCAAACCAATTCCATTTAGAAATCATTCCTATTGTTCATTCATATCATGGCGCATTTGTGGTCCGTCCGTGTCATCTCAGCCATGAGGTAGGTGCTAGCAGGCCCATCCTACAGATGGGCAAGCTGAGGCTCAGAGGGCTAGGGGGTGGGCAGGCTTGGAGCCAAGAGAGGCTTGTGACCATGTCCTCAGGAGGACAGCATAGAGGTGAGTGGAGGGCTCTGGGCCCCTAATGAAATGGACAGGAGATGTGCGGGGTCCCCAGGACCCCTGAGCAGTGGCCGGTCTTCCTGTGCTGGGTAGAGTGTGAAGCGAGCCCAGAGACGGTCCACATTCTGCCCATGGGGGCCTGGCAGCTTCTAGCAGGCACAGCCCAAGACGGCTCAGGCACTTGCCTCTTGGAGCCATCGATCTGTGAGGGGGTCATTCCCTCCTGGGGGACACGGACGCTGTCTCCTCCATAGCCACTGTGGTGACATCCGGTGGGGCCGGCGGGACCTGGATGGACAGACCCAGCATCCCCTTCTGTGATGGGACTGGCGCCTCACTAGCGCCTTCTGGGCTGGAATTTAAGTGTCTTTCTTGGTGAGCCTGGCCGCCCTGTGTCCAGCCGGGGGGCCGTGTAGTGCTCAGGGTCATTGGGTGTCTAAGGCGAGGACTGAGGCCTCCCTTCCCAAGTTGGCTTGGCCTTACACTAAGGACTCAGGGCCCTCCGAGAACTGGGGCCCCCACCCACCCAACAGCATCACCTCCAGTGGGTTGGGGGCGGGTGGGAACGGTCAGTAATACCTGGTGAAACAATCTCGCCTTGGTGGATCCCCCTGCAAAACAGAGACACTGTCACAGTGACGGGGGCTGGAGGGACCCGAGCTCCGGCTTCTCCCGCTGTGGCTTTCCCTGAGAGAAGGACCCTCTGGGGGACAGGCCAAACCCATGTAGACAAGACTCCTTGCTGGACTTGTCCAGCAGAGGGCCCAGGACATGGGCCAACATGGGGCACCTCCTGCCTGAGTCCCCAGCTGCCAAAGCCTGTCCCTAACTCACTCCAGTGATGGTCATCCAGGGAAAGGGAGTGAGCACTTCACAGAGGAGGGTCCCCCACGCCTCAGGGAGCAGGTACCCCAGAATCGCTCAGAGCCTGGGACCCTGAGACCTGCCTGCAGCCTGGGGGCCCCGGTGTGAGGACCCAGGACACATTAGCTGACAGTAGCCCGAGAAGGTGGGCGACCGTCCCCATCTGGACTTCTTTGCTGAGTGCCTGCTCCCTGACGGGCATGCCCGGGGCTCCCCAAAGGCCAGAGCTGGGTCTACAGGGTTGGGGCCTGGCCCAGATGTGGAGCCCACAGCAGGCGGGTCAGTGGGCAGGGGCGGAATGGATGAATGCTATGTGGCCTCGTGGGGGCACTCGGCCTCGCCCGTGGAGGCCTACTGCTGCCCCTCCAACCGCCCCCCCGTGCTCCCCCACCTGTCTGCAGCCTGCCCGGTGCTTCTCTGCCCCTGAGGGCAGACGGGGACTGGGGGTCCGTGGTGGGGAGTGAGCATGGGGGCGGCAGGGGGGTCCCGGAGCAGGGGGCCCTGTCCTCCCGGCCCTCCGCCCCCAGAGATCCCATGACATCAGGACTCCCACTCAGTGGGAAGCTCACATCCCCAGGCCGGCACAGACCCCCTGAGAGGAGCCAAGGAGTCCTGGAGACACTCGTGCCGGCCGCCTCCCCCGCCACTTAGAGGGAGAGAGCGGGGAGACACCATTGCTGGGCCCCAAGCCCTGATGGGACCCAGCACCGTGCTCACTAGGCGACCGTCGGTTTTTCATCCTCACCCCGAGGACTGTGAGGACACAGAGCCCCACTAAGATGAGACTGCTCACAAAAACATAAAGGCCCCAGGACGAACACGTGACATCTGAGCTGCTGGTCCCAGGGTCAGCTTGTGTCTCGAAAGGGCCGCTACACCTAGGAGAGAGAGCAGCCGGGAGGGTCCGGGGCAGCTCGGGCGCGGGGTCCGGCGCTCAGAGCCGGGAGGGCCCGGGGCACAGCCCGCTCCGGTGGCTCCGGGTGGGAGCTCGGGTCTGGCCTCCTTTCAGGCCTCACCACTACAGGCAGACGGAGGGAGGGAAGGAAGAGGTGGGTAAACAGGGATGCCCAGGGAGAGGGGCGGGGACGGGGTCCGAGGAGACAGGGCAGAGAGAGCCCTGGTCAGGGGGGCGCAACCTCAGAGCCAGTGTGGCAGACAGAGGAGAGGGACAACAGGCAGGATGGCGGAAGAGAGAACCCGTTCCGTCCCCACGACGTCGGCCACATCTAGTCACCCCAGGCTCTCCCCAGGACCCGGGGATGGGCATTCAGGGGGTTCTGTCACAGGAAGAACAAGGTCCTCACTTTGAGAACCTCCCTGACAGCCTTCCTCTGACTCTAGATTCACTGGGAGCCCCCCACAGCCCTGGCATCTGGGGACACCCCAGAACCACAGGGGCCCCAGGAATCGGGCATCAGCTCCCTCCAGATCTGCCCCAGGAGAGAAGATCCATCCTTGGCCTCCAGGAAGCTCGCATCAGCTACCGTGATAGGGGGCGTGAGCCACGGGGTCCACCAGCTTCTCTCCTGGAGGCCGGCACGTGATGGGGAGCAGCAGAGGGGGATCCCTGGAGTTTCCACTGGAGGAGGGCCCTTATCTGCCAGGGGAGCATGGAGGAGCCCCTCCTGGGGACATGGGGCTGAAACCACCCCAGGATCACCTACGTGCTCCAGGGCTGGCACTCCTCCAGGGTCCCACTGGCTGAGAAGGTCCCGGGAGGGCAGTCTTCACACACCCTGTCGTGCCACTCGGTGCCTAAGAAATGAGAGGGCTGGGCAGAGGGGAGCAGGGGCCCAGGCCAGGAGAGAAGCTGGGTCTGGGGTCTGTCTCTTCAGGGGGTGCCGCTCAGCTCTGCCGCTGAGCAGAGACCAGGGAGTCGGGGCGCCCAGGGTCTGCAGCTCACCTCCGGCCCGCACCCTCTGGCCAGGTCTGCAGAGTGTGTGCGGACGGCACTCGGCACAGTCGCCCCCATTCTCACTGACGCAGAAGTGGTCCCGGTCACAGACGCACACGGTATTCTGTCTTCGGGAGCACTCCTGCCTGGTCACCAGGCCCATGGCTGGGACCCAAGAGAAGGAGCTGAGAGCAGCCGTACGGGCTCCTATGGCCAGTGCTGAGCGCCCCGTCCCAGGAGGAGACCAAGCAGAGGCTTGGACAGCAGCCGCAGGCCTCTGGGCTCCTGCCGGGGGCCTGGGGACAGGTTGGTGACCGGCCCCCCAGCCCAGCTTTGCAGCCTGGTGTGTGTGTCTGGGTCCAGCTGTGCTCCTGCCCGAGGACCGGGCCAAGTGTATGCCCTGCCCAGCCTGACCCGGGCCTGTTCCTGCTGGGCACAGGGTGTGTCCCTTGGGGCTCTGAGGGACCTGAGCCGCAGCACCAGGGGCTGGAAAAGGAGCAGGGGCCAGCTGTCAGGACGGTGGTGGAAGGGTGTCCTCAGGAGAGGAGCCGACTGATGGGGAAACAGCCTTGTCCCCGCGGGGCCCACACAGGAAGCGAGAACCACAGTCAACCATGGGGCAGTCCCTGAAGGCAGGTCCCAGCCCTAGGCCACCCACACCTGAAGCTGCCCCACCTCGGGCAGGGTCCCATGCTGCAAGCAGGCTAGGCAGAGGGCAGCGACGGAACGAGCTGGCAGTGGGGGCGGGGTCGTGCTGGGCCTGGGCTCACCCCCGAGCCCCTGCTGAGGGACAGGCTCGTCTGCCATCTGTACCTCAACCTCAGCCCGATAAAACAGGTGCCTTCTTCAGGGCATCGAGGATCTGTGGGTGAGCCCGAGGCTCCAAGCCCTCACCCCCACCTGGCTGGACCCAAAAGCACTGCAGCCTTCTCCTGGGTCCTGCCTTTCCTCCTGGGGTCCCTCCAGCCCAGACCACCTGGCAGGAAGAAGGCGAGGGTCCGAGTGCTGGGCCATGAGTAGGGGCCCTCAGGGGTGTGGTGTGGGGGCTGCAGTCCTGAGACCCTGCACACTGTGGGTGGACAAGGCCCAGTCCCCCAGGCCCAGCAGGTGGGGCAAGGCACAGCCGGTCCTGGCCCTGTGGGTGCACCGCTGCAGCAGGACGTGGGGCCCGAGTGGGATGTGGCGGCTATGGCCAGGGCCCTTACCTGGGTCACACACTCGGCACTGCAGACACTCGCTCAGGCCATTTAGGTGGGCTGTGTAGGTCCCGGGGTCACAGGGAACACACAGCGTGCCAGTCAGCTCCCCACAGGTCTCCTTCACCCGGTAACCTGTGCCCAAAGCGGCTGTGTCACTTGGGCCTGGGGAGAGCCCTGTGGGCGCTCACCCGACCTGCTGCCAGGACACCCCCCACCCCCGGACACTGAAAGGCACCTGAGCTGTGCTCCACACGGCACATCTTGTCCTGCTGCCTCTCACCAGGGAGCCAGCTCTGGCAGGGGGTCGGGGGGAGTGGGAATGTCCTGGTGCATGTGGGCATGACTGTGCCCCATGCCGGCTCTGGGCCCCAGCTTCTGGCCATAAATGGGCCGGCTGGGTCCCCAGACCACATCCCTGTGCACTGCAGCTGAGAGGGTCTTGGGAGGAAGAGTCAAAGCTGGGGGTGGGGGGAGGCACTCAGCCCTCCCCTGTTTGTGCCCCTGCCCCCGGGGGGTTCAGATGGCCCCAGGGAGTGGAGCATGAGCTGAGGTATTGGCCCCAGGCAGGGAAGGGGTGGGTCCCCCCAGAGATGCACGTACCTGGGCTGCACTTGGGACAGCATTCGGACCCTACTGGGTACTCTTCCTCTTTGCACGGGGCCATGGCCAGGGCACAGGGGAGGGACCCCAGGAGGAGCAGGTACAGGGCCTGCAGGAGACAGGATCCGCATGGAGGAGAGCAGTTGCCAGGGCGGCCCCTGGGGCCTCAGGCTCACCCTCTGTGAAATGGGGCAGCAACAGCCCTTGGGGAACCACAGGGCCAGAGCAGGGATGGCTGGAGGAGTCACCGGCCCAGCAGGGGACACAGGTGGCTCTGGGCCTGGGGGTGAGGGGGGCTATCCGGGGAACCTGGTTCCAGTGTGGGAGCAGCTGGCCCAGCAGGCCCAGCAGGGTCATGGAACCGCCCTCTGTGCACAAGTAAGGAGTTATCTTATCAACTATCAGCCAGGCTGCAGGCGGAGGGTGGAGGAGATGGGTGGGGTTCCCTGACCGCCTGCTTTCCAAGAGCAGCCTCCTGCCGTGTGGGGCTGTCCTGCGGGCCCTGAAAAGGGTGGCAGGAGAAGGGTGTCCTAAGAGGACAGGAGCACTTCCCTGGCTGGTGGGTATGACTTCCTGCCACTCTACTCCCCCACCCTCGGGGACCAGGGGACTGGGTGCCAGGGGCTGGCTCAGCCCAGAGGGACAGTGCTGGGAGACAAAAGCCCACGTGAGACAGGAA